TTTCCCGCAGCCCAACCTTCAGGAGACAGAGATACCCCAGAGATCCCCTGAATGATGATGGGCACCAGGGGAGGCACCCGCAGACACCTTTACTGTGCAGGACATGGAGTGTGGAGCAGGGGGATGCAGTGGGAATTGAATAAAGCAGCCCCTCGGCGGGAGAAGAAGGCGCCGAGTGGCCAAGGAAGGGTTCCAGGGGGTGCTTGGGGTGCTGGGAACAGCAATCCCACCCCGGCTGTGCCAGAGGAGGTGTCTGCTCCAGACCTGGCACTGCTGGCCACAGGATGTGGGCGCCGATAATTCAGGTGGCTGAAAGCCTAATGGGGTGGATTCATGGGTAAAAAATTCGCGGAGGACGGTTGGATAAACACGGCAGCACCTCCTCGGCTTGAGGAAGTCCCTGAGTCACGGCAGCCCCGCGGTGCCCAGGCTGTGCTGGACAGGTGCATGTGTAGGACTAGCCCTAGTGTTGAGGGGCCAGTGTTCCTCACAGGCTCCAGGTCTAATTTCAGCCAGGCAGTGTATCCTGGCTCCTGTGACTGTGGCTGTGTCCTCTGTCCCTGTGTGCTCAGCGAGCCTGGAGCCCTGCCTGTCCCTCAGCTGCCAGCAGATTTGGGCAGCACAATATAAGAAGGACATAAAGCTATGAGAGGGTGTCCAAAGGAGGCTGCAGGGATGGTGAGGGGTCTAGAGGGGAAGCCGTATGAGGAGCAACTGAGGTCTGTTCAGCCTGGAGAAGAGGAGACTTAGGTCAGACCTCAGAGGGGTCTGCAGCTTCCTCACAAGGGGCAGTGGAGGCACAGCTCCAATCTCTGCTCTCGGTGACCAGTGAGAGGACCCGAGGGAACAGCTGGAGCTATGTCAGGGGAGGTTTAAGTTGGATATTAGAAAAAGGTTCTTCAACCCAAGGATGGCTGGGCACTGGAATAGGCTCCCCAGCGAAATGGTAACAGCAGCAAACCTGCCAGAGTTCAAGGAGCTCTCAGACACAATGTTCTCAGATACATGGTGGGATTTTTGAGGGGATTCTGTGCAGGGTCAGGAATCATAGAATCATAGAATCATAGAATGGTTTGAGTTGGAAGAGAACTTAAAGATCATCTTGTTCCATCCCCCTGTTTAGGGCAGGGACACCCTTCACTATACCAGGTTGCTCCAAGCCCTGTCCAACCTGACCTTGGACACTTCCAGGGATGGGGCAGCCACAGCTTCTCTGGGCAACCTGTGCTAGTGTCTCACCACCCTCACAGGGAACAATTTTTTCCCAATATCTGATCTAAACCCCCTCGCTTTCCATGTGGACCCAAGGAGTTGCACTCCGATGATCCAGCCCGGGATGCGAT